CAATGCGGTCTTCAATTATTTAAACCATATCAATTCTGGAAAGAAAAAAAATTCTGAGGCTAATAAAGCAAAGGCCAGAGTAGAGACACGTGGCTATAGTCTCAGCTACTTGGGAAACCGAGATGGGAGCATCCCTTGAGTACAGGAGTTTGGGGCTGCAGTGAGCCATGATTGTACCACTGCATCCTGGGTCGCAGAGCAAGACCCTGTCTCTGAAAACTAAAAATAAAGGCAAAATGTAAGTATTTGTTAAATCTTCGAGTAGGTGGGTTTTGTTAGTTGCAACTGTTTGGTATATTTCTGTACTTTTGGAATATGTAATTACCATAATATGTTAAAAAATGTACATTGGTATCAGACAAAACTGAGTTCTTACCTCATATATTGTACTTACTATGTAACTTAGGTAAAGATTCAATTTCTTTAGGTTCTACCTGCTTGATCTTAAATGTATACAATATTACAATATTCCCTACCTTTTTAGGGTTATTGTAACTATTTTAACTGTATTGATGATCTAGAACTTGGGGAAAATATGTGTCCAATATATGGTAAGTGAGAGGAATAAAGAAGCAGCAACATGAAACCAAAAGAGAGCAACATTTTTCAAAAGGGGAAGGAGGTGTCTTTTGTTTCACATGCTGGTAACGGTTAAATTACTGGTCCTGGCCATCGTCTTTAACTGTTAGGAGGTTATTGATGAATTTTACTTGAGCAGTCTGGCCAGAAAGATGCAAGCAGAGGACTGTGAGTATGGGTTGAAAGGAAGGAAGGACAAATAACAAATGCTTGTAGTGCACTGTTTGAAATAAGGATACAAGGAAAAATCATGTACGTATTTATAGATGGACAAGAGAAAACAGGCAATTTTAAAATGGGAGACTGCAAATGTGGACTATTTTAAGTAGTTTGATTGTGGAGGGAAATAGGTCAGTGACTAGATGTAGACAGAAGGGTGTGTGTGTGTATGTAATGGTAAGGATTTTAGTATGTGAACAGCCTGAAAGGACCAGTAGCCAGTAGCAAGGGGAGAAGTGAAAATACAGGAACAAAGGTAGAGTACTGATGGATCGAGGTCTTAGAAAAGACAGGAGGGGTTGGAATCAAGAACACAGATGAAAGGGTTGGCTGTAAGCAAAAGAAAAAGCACTTGTTCTGAGATTAGAAAGAAGTTGAACTCTGAGTACTGACAGTGATAAGTGTCTACGTGTGAAGAGAGGACATTGGGGGAGTTTATGTCTCTTAGCTTCAGATTTGTCTGTAAAAGGTAGATGGCAGTTTCCTCTACTGAGAAAGAATGTCTTATTTCGGTTATCTTTGTTGTTGCTGTTTGCTTGCTTCTTCCCTGTCGAGAGTGAGGACTCAGGTATTGAAATACTCCATGAGGGATGTTTCTTTTGATGGAAAAATTGAATTCAGTCCCAATTCTCCTTTTCTAAAGAAGAGATTTTTTTCTGTGAACCATCATTGTTTGGTACTTCAAATCACTACACTCATTTCAGGAAGTCATGAAAGGTCCGTAGAGGGGAGTGATGTGTAAGAGTTACTAGCCAAGGCTTTTGGGAAATAAGCAGGAACCAAGACTCCACATTTCCATGTTCTCTGCAAAATCAGCTTTCCAAAAATAGACTCATACAAGCTGTAGTCACAGTTGAATGTCATGTTTCTATTATTGCAATGACATAAAATCATTAAACCACTGCTAGTAGTAAAAGCAGTCATGTCTAGTAATAGAACTGCTCTGTGTCCATTCAAAGGGAATTGCATTTTAAATGACACATGGTGAGCAATGTCCTGTTGAGGTGAGTGACATGGACTGAGGTTTGACTTCCACCACAATTTATTAAATGTCCTCCTGTGATAGTTCTCTGCAGTACCCAAGCGCTCAGTTCTGAATAGTGGTGTCAAACTGGCTGGCATGTCATGGGCTTAGGACACAGAAAAGTTTCGAATTTGTTGGGGACCATCTGTTAAATTTTTTATGTTTCCTATATTTAAGCTAACTGAAAAAAAGATCAAATATTCTTTTTTATCTTTAAAAATTTTTATATATGATAGAAACAAAAATATATGTAAAAATAAAATAAAGACAGGATCTCACTATATTGCCCAGGCTGGTCTCAAACCCCTGGGCTCAACCAATCCTCTCACCTTGGCCTCCCAAAGTGCTGGGATTACAGGTGTGAGTCATCAGGCCTGGCCCAAATGTTCTTAATATGGAGACTCAATAATCCTCCCTTAGTCTCTCAAAATTTTTTTAAATTTTCTTTTAATTTTTTTTTTCTTTTGGAGAGGGAGTCTCGCTCTGTCGCCCAGACCGTAGTGCAGTGGCACAATCTTGGCTCACTGCAAGCTCTGCCTCCCGGGTTCACACTGTTCTCCTGCCTCAACCTCTGGAGTAGCTGGGACTACAGGCACCTGCACAACGCCCGGCTAATTTTTTGTATTTTTAGTAGAGATAGGGTTTCACGGTGTTAGCCAGGAGGGTCTCGATCTCCTGACCTCGTGATCCACCTGCCTCAGCCTCCCAAAGTGCTGGGATTACAAGCGTGAGCCACCACGCCTGGACATTTTTTTTTTTTTTTTAATTTTTGTGGGCATATAGGAGGTATATATTTTTACTGGGCATATGAGATGTTTTGATACAGGCATGAAATGTGTAACAATCACATCATGGAAAATGGGGTCTCCACCTTCTCAAGGATTTATCCTTTGTGTTACAAACAATCCAGTTATACTCTTATTTTAAAATACACAGTTAAATTATTATGGACTATAGTCACCCTGTTGTGCTATCAAATACTAGGCCATATTCATTCTAATTTTTTGTACCCATTAACCATCCCCATCTTCCTCCTACCCCCCTACATCTTCCTCCTACCCCACTTTCCCAACCTCTGGTAACCATCCTTCTACTCTCTGTCTTCATGGGTTCAATTGCTTTGATTTGTAGAACCCATAGATAAATGAGAACGTATGATATTTGTCTTTCTGTGTCTGGCTTATCTCAGTTAACATAATATCCTCCAGTTCCATCCATGTTGTCGCAAATTACTGAATCTCATTCTTTTTATGGCTGAATAGTACTCCATTGCGTATAAGTACCCTTTCTTTATCTATTCATCTATTGATGGGCACTTAGGGTGCTTCCTAATCTTGGCTATTGTAAACAGAGCTGTATCAAGTTTCTTTTTCTAGACTGCTCTTTACATCATGTACACCATACAAGCAGAATTTTTGAATACCTTATATGATTCAGGCACATTATCTCAGTTAATCCCTCAAAGAATCCAATGAGAGAATTATAGCCATAGGCTAATGAGTACATTGACATTTCAAGATTGAACACAATATGTCCAAAACCAACTGGGATTCAAATTCATGTCTGAATTAAATAAATGTGATTAAAGGAGTCATTGGATCAAATGTCTTTTCTAAGTTCTAAACCTATTAAGAAGGGGACAAGGAAGTTTTGACTTCCTTAGGCATTCAAATATCACCTTTATTATCAGTAAGACTGTATTGATAAATATACTCTCTACATGAGGCCAAAATGCACTGTACATTAGGCCAATATTATCACCCTAAAAGTGGCCCCTGGAATGAGAATCGTAATTACAGAGCTAATAAATTGCATTAAGAAGTGAAACCTATCTCTCACCTTTTATGAGTGAATGGTGTAGATACATTAGTCCTGTAAAATAAGTCATTCCTCTTGTTATTGGCAATGAAATAGTGAGGGTGCAGGGATTGGTTTCTATCAAATACCCTCAAGGAAGGTAGAGGTCAGTCATTAAACAGAACAGAGATGATTCCCTCCAAACATGGCACATACTTTTTCCATGGCAGGTAATTCTCTTTTATTAATTTAATCCATATAAGTGTTTTATCTTCTCTTTTACATTATGAGCTTCTTAAGTCACAGATGTAATGATTAAACCAGGACAAAACATCAGGCAGCTAACACACTAGGAATGATGAAAAAGCATTATATTGATGGATTTCACTGTGATAAGAAACAGAGTATAATTTTCCGTTGTACTTTGGGGTAGCACACGGAGATAGAGTAAATCAAGTACTGGCCTCTAGAAGGCTTTAAGAAACTAATTAGGAAAGCAACAGCTCTTCCCCTGGCATGACTGAGAGCTGGGATCCATCAACTATGTGCATGGCATAGTTTTGTCTCTAAGTCCTATTCTGCCAACTGGACCTCCAATAGTTCAGGGAACACAAGCCCATTCTCTGGCAGAATCAGTGGGTTCATGTCTAAGCCTCAGAGTTCCAGCTCTTTGACATGCTTGAAAATGGCTTAATCTGCCATCTCAGTCTTTACTAGAATTGGTTACCTTAAGGCATTTTTTTTTTGTGGCTATTTTTCCAGGCAATCTGCAGGCAGCAAGCTCCTCCTTTTGGAGACTAGCATGTAGGGAGTAAGTTTTGGACAAGTCAATTTGTACTTCTCCATATTGACCTGATTATGTCTTGTCTTAGCATAGTGTCTTGCAAAATGTAGCTGTTGAATAAAGGAGATAATGTACTGATGGATGAATGAATGAATAATTATGTAGATAAAAGTATAGCCACTAAAGCTGTCTTTTTCTTTATGCCATTCCTCCAGAGTGCTCATTTTCAAGAAGGTGCAAACAGATACCTAGGCACCAATTAGAAATCTGTTTCTCAATATAAGCCTATGTTTCTTTTATTTGATAAATTTATTTTCTCTGATCTGAAACACAGGCTCTTTCAGTCATCAAATAAACCTCACCACATCAACGATGGAGTCATAGCCTATAGAACAATGACTCTCTATGTCTCTTAATGAAAGACCTCAGGTTTATTTTTTATTTCTTTTTGAAATATGATAAAATCCCCTATATGTACTGAAAAATCCTGTTGAATTAAATAATAAATTATAATCATAGCTAGCATTTTTTAATGTTCACTATATGCCTGTGCTCTGATAAATACTTGACATAGATTATCTCATTTAATCCTCACAGAAACCAAATGAAGTGTTTACTGTCATTATACATATTTGATGAAGAGGATACTGAGGCTCACAGAGAATTACTAATTTGTTCAAGACAGTCTAATGTGGAGTAATCAAGAGTGAATGCCCTGAAAGCACACATACCAGCTTGGACCAGCATTCTTTTTTTTTTTTTTTGAGAGGAAAAACTACAGAGACAGGGTAGCAGCAGGTAAGCCATTTTCTCCATACCAATTGTACAAGGACCTTGCGGGCAAATGTCCGTCATGGGAGAGGCTCCAGTCTTGAGATGTGGGGCTTATAAACTGCCTGGTTAGGGAAGCACCAGACCTTCCCCTGGGATAGATTGGGGCCAAGGTCAAAATGTTGCTGTTATAGTTCTGTGATGTACAAGAATTGTTGCTTCTATCCCTGATCTTCCACTGCAGCAATTATGACAGAGAGCTCAGTAACACATCCCTTGGTGTGACTGGAGTCCAGGGCCCAAGTCTCATGTTTGTTGTCATATGGTGTTGGGGATTCTTGGCCCTCAGCCCTGTCCATTTCATTGGCATCTTATCAGATGTCTGACTTGAGTACTCAGTTGTTGCCAGTTTTTATATCTTCTGCATTTTAGTTTTCAAATGAGCCTGCTTTTTGGGGGAGAGGAAGTGTCAGCTGTCTGTATGGAAAATCAGCCTGCTGGGTCTCCAGCCCAGGCAGAGTAACCCTTGCCTATCACCAGCTGTTAAGTGGTAAAACCTTTATTCAAGTGCCACAGTGTGACGCCAGAGTGCCCAGTCTTAAGCAATTTTCAATAAGAAGAGGATTTAACCAACCATATGTACATTTCAGATAGAGTCGTAATTTACAGTATCTACTTTTGCTGTTGTGTGTTTTTATCTCATGTTGCTAGTTGATTATTTGAAATACTTATGTATCAAACTCCTATTTCTAGCCCATGTAATTCACCATTCTTCTACTTTCTGTTCCGTTGGAAGGTGAGATTTAATTTGGTTGTGAAACGTTCAAAGGTATGTTGTTAGCCATGAGATTGATATGCTTATTCACTGGGATGTGTGTTGGAGTGGACAGTTCTTAAGATGTAGCATGCCCTGGAAGAAGAAATAAAATGTACAAATTCAGCCTTTGCATTCTGACCTCTGTGTGGGTATTTATAGGAGATTCTAAAACTAGAACTAATGATGCTAAGAACTTGTCTCTATGCCAGTTGAGCTATATGGTTTGCTGTTTTGAATTCTATTTGCATATCTTGCAAGTATAACTTTATTCTTTCCAATAATTCCCATGTGAAATGTATAGATTTATAAACTAACAATATAGAATGTCTTTATCCAGTCAGTCATTGATGGGCATTTAGGTTGATTCCATATCTTTGCTATTGTGCATAGTGACACAATGAACTTATTCCTGCATATGTCTTTATAATAGGATGATTTATACTCCTTTGGGTATATACCAAGTAATGGGATTGCTGGGTCAAATGGTATTTCTGTCTTTATGTCTTCGAGGAATCGCTACACTATCTTCCACAATGGCTAAACTAATTTACACTCCCATGAACTGTTTATAAGAGCTCCTTTTTCTTTATAACCTCGTCAGCATCTGTTATTTTTTGACTTTGTAATAATAGTCATTCTGACTGGTGTTAAATGGTATCTCATTGTGTTTTGATCTTCATTGCTCTAATAATCAGTGATACTGAGTTTTTTTTCACATGATTGTTGGCTGCACGTATGTCTTCTTTTGAGAATTGTCTGTTCATGTCCTTTGCCCACTTTTTTATGAGGTTGTTTTTGTAAATTTGTTTGGATACGGGGGGAACAACACACACTGGGTCCTTTAAGAAGGTAGAGGGTGTGAGGAGGAAGCAGATCAGAAAAAAATAACTAATGGGTACTAGGCTTAATTCCTGAGTAATGAAATATTTGTACAACAAACCTCCATGACACAAGTTTACCTATGTAACAAACTTACACTTGTACCCTTGAACTTAAAAGTGACAGTAAATAAATAAATACAGAATATCTTGAACCAAGAGAAATCATCAGTAATTTAACAGTAGTAACATCTTTAACTCAAGTTCACAAAGTCAGAGACATAATCTGTTTTGTTCATTTCTATATATCCCCAGTGCATAGACACTGGCCTAGAACAAAGTAGTTGTTAAATGAATACTTGTTATTTGAATAAATAAACCAATATATGACTTTTGATGAAAAATTACCTATTAAATCATCTCAATTTTCCTGGGATATCAACATACCTGCTTTTAGTTTTATTTATTAAATTAGATAAATATGAGATGGGAAAAGTGATCTTTTCTTGTGTTTCCATATCCAAATCATTTGTTTCTCAGTGGAAATGGACAATATATTCAAAGTAAAATTCTTTAAAATCTTGTGATTAGAAGTACTTTCAGATGTGTAGAATTGTGTGTGTGTGTATGTGTGCGTCTGTGTGTTTAATATTGGAGGATAATTATTTGGAAAAAAAGCTGTTTTCTACAGATTATCCACTATTTTGGATAACACCCCCTCAAAAAAAAGTGAATGTTGCACAGCAGATAACCAGAGAGATTCCTGTTTTCATAACTCTTCCTTGTAGAGGGGTATTTCTTAGTGTTTAAGAGCACGAGTCCTTCCTTACTAGTTGTGTGTCCTTGAAAAACTTACTTCTTATTCTTATGTCTTGTTCTCTCATTGACAGAAACAGAATAATAATAGTTTTGACTTCGTAAGTTTGATATAAGAATCAGTGAGTTAGTACATGTAAAACATGTAAAGCATGCCTGGTACAGAGTAAACTCTCAAGAAACATTATTATTACTATTATTCCTGTCTCCTAATGCATAAAAAACCTCACCTTCCTCAGGCAATTTATACAAGTCAGGAATAGTATAAACTCTGATTTTAACTTTCATATTCCGTGATCTTAGAGAGAGTCTTCAAGGGCTCCCTACTAGCCTTTTAATTAAAAAAAAAAAAAAAAAAAAAAATCCAGGTCAAATAAAACAAAAACACATATAAGTCCCTATGATGCCTGCTCTGTCTTAATGAAACTGGGTTTTCTGGAATCCCTTCAATTATCCTTGATGTCTTCAAATTCTGAGAATGCTCAGGCTTCCTTTGTAGTATTTTTTAAACTGGTACTAACCTGTCTGGCATGTGCAATAGATGAGGGAATATTCTCCAATTGCACCTCTGAAACTTCATCTGGTTCAGCCCCTGCACACAAACCTGATGGAGCAGAGGGAGCTGAATAAGGTCAACATCAGGTGATTTTTCCCTACTAAAATTTCTAATCTGTTGTAGGCACAGGGCTAAATCACAGTGTGTGATGGTCCTGCTAAAGAAAAAAGTACCACAGCAAATAAATGGAAATTCCTTCAGGCCGAGGAAAATGTAACAGCTCTAAATACAGCTACACCTTTATATAGAAACACATAGAAACACTTGACTGGACTTCAAGAATGTGTGAAGATTTCTTCAGTATTAGTTGAAGGCAGTCTTCTGATTTTGGCTTCTGTAAACTTCCTCTCTCGCTCTTTTTGTTTTCCTGGCCCTTATCCATTTGACTTTCTTCCCAATGACCCACTCCCTGACTTTCTTTAGATAATTTGAAAATACTGACTCTGCAGATGCCAAGGGTGAAAAGTATCTTCATCCTTACTGAACTGCACATAGCAATTCTCTTTTCTCATTCCCAGAGGAATTTTTGTAATTTTATAGGGAGTACTTGTGTCTGTACTATAGTGTCTACAGAAAAGAATAATGAATGAATCTGCCCATTATCTACATTTTAATGGGCTTTGATAAAAAATAAGCTCACCCCGGCCTCAAAAATGAAAACAAAAAAATTTTGACTTATTAAGTGACATATGCATATGAAAGTTAAGATATTTTGGGTCATAGTAATATGTTGAAAACAACATAGAATCTATTATTATTCTTTAAACTTTTTTGACCGATGGCTTTCTGAGCATATAGCTAAAGAACTCTATCCTTAGAAAATACATATAAAGTAGACATCTACAACATTTTTTGAAGATAATTTTCAGAGATATATTGTGTGAAGCCTATTGTGATATTCTATAGAAATATATAAAATTCACATTAAAATCCCTGCCTTAGCTCAGGCCATTGCCGGACTGTTGTATCCCAGGGTCATGTGTAGTGAGTGCATCATAGGTGTGCTGAGATTATTACCTATTTCTGTCTTTAAGGCAGCAAGGCAGAATCAAAGGTAACTAGAACGAAGGGGTTTGTTTCTTCTCATTGTAAAAAAAGCAGGAAAGTTTTCCCCAGTAAACTATAGATATCTGATCACCTTCTAATTGATTCTTAAGTAAAATAACTTGAACATTCTGACAAGGATTGTTCACTTATTTTTGCAGTGGATGTTTGTTGATTGTCTCCTATTAACTATGCACTATACACTATGTTAGATTTGGGTGAAGTAACAAAGGTGACTAAAGTTTTTTTGGTTTTTTTTTTTTTTTTTTTTGACCTTGAGGAAGTCATAGTCTGTAAGGGAAAACACATACCCAAATAAGTAAGTATAATACCGTATGCCATATGTGTAGACCTATGGGAGCAAAGAGGAAAGTAGGCCTCATTTTATTTGGATAAGAACACACATCACCAGAAGAACATTTAATGAAACTTTGCAGGCTAAGTGGAATTCACTAAGAAGATTATGTGTGCTACCATTATTTTTCCAATAGATATTTTTCTACAACATTTGTAATGGTTGCATACTATTCCACTATTTGAACATAATGCAATTTAGTTTTTACTTTTTTTTTATGCAGAGTAGAATTACAACAATGCTACATTGATTTATTGCATTTTAGTGAAGTCAGGGTCTTTAACGTATTCATCACTGGAGCAATGCACATTGCAGCCAACAAGCAACCTCCCATCATCCACTCCTACCATCTCCCAACACAATTAATTTAATCAAATCCTTTTCATCACTAGTTGATTCCAATTTTTGGCACTATAGCCAATATTAATATAAAGATTCTTAAAGCTAAATCCTAGTACATGTTCTTTATTCTATTTTTAGAATACAGTTCTAAACAAAATTAACAGTTCAAAGGACTACAACATTTTCAAAGCTTAAATAGTTTTTCTCAAGATAGCATTATTAAAAAGCAGGGCTTTGTGTTCAGATAGACTTAAGTATAAAATATAAACATTTATTTTC